AGAATCCGAACCACCAACCTGTCATATCTGGGGCCTTCTGGCCTCCAGTGACCAGATCAGTGCCTCAGTGTGGAAAAACATCGTATCAAGCCACATCCACATTGACAGCGGGCTCATCACCTCCTACTGTCTATTGAAGCCACCCTCTCCCCAGTTGTTGATCTGTGATAATCAAGTCTCTGAAAATGGGTGATTTTTATGGAAAGTAGTATTTTTAAACTAAAAATAACTCCCTTTCACTCTAACTGCAAAAAGAAAAATTCATATAGTAGTCAACTGAAAATAAAGAAAATGTATGGGTTGAGCCTATTCCCGACAAGTTGTAAAGATGGCTTCCCCTCAAAAAAGGTAAGCAAACATATTTAGTTGACATCATAGTCCATTTCCATTTGGGCTGCTATAACAAAATACTTCAGAGAGAATGGTCTATAAGCAACAGAACTTAATTTATCATGGTTCTGGAGGCTAAAATTCTGAGATTAGGGTGCCAACATGGTCAGGTCCTGGTGAAGGCCCTCTTGTGTGTTGCAGACTGCCAACTTCTGGCTGTGGCCTTACCTGGTGGAAGGGGCCAGGAAGCTCTGTCTGGCCTCTTTTATAAAGGCATCGATCTCATCCATGAGGGCTCTGCCCTCATGATCTGAGCACCTCCCAATGACCTCACCTCCTAATTACCAACACTTTGGACATTAAGATTTCAACATATGAATTTGGACAGACACAGTCAGACCAGCAGCATAGTGTATCTCATCTTCATTTGACTGCTCTGAGAATACACAAACATATGACAAGAAGCTGAAATAATTGTTATTCTGAGAGGTTCTTAGTTTAGTTCTTTAATGACAACCAGCCATGGCCTGGCTGTCACCCGCTATCTTACCCTGTTTTCTTTCTCATTTTCAGTTGCTTTCTCCCATTCCTGCAACTCCTATGCAGTTAATCTGGGCTCCAAGGGGTCTCCCCTGCGGGTGGGTATCCCAGGGCATGTGGGATGAACCCTGGTAGGAGAGTTTTGCTTTTCATGTTGGAAGGAATTGTTCATTTGGGAAATAATGATGTTTATAAACATCAGAGAATTGCAGGCTTGTGCCTAAACATCTATCCCATAGGCATTTTAGCAACATGGCCAAGGTGCAAGGCTGTGCATGTTGAATAAACACAGCTGCATATATTTCAATGATCACACATCCAGATAACTGCAGAGCATGTTTATAAATGCACATAGATTTTCATCCCCTCCTGGGACACAATGGGTAGGGAAGAGGGAGGGTGGGCAACATGTGTGTGTGACAAGAGTCATCACAGAGTATGATTTTCAGACTCCATGAAGACCTCCTGTCCACCCATTCTCTACTTTCTGTCAGATGCCCAAAATTCCACCACTCGGCTTTTATCCGGGGGTTAAAGCTTTCATCCCTCTTAAAATGTATTTACTTGACTTTAGATTGCTTTGGACATTTGCACTGTGATGTGTGACATGCATAGGCATATCATTGTGAAAGCTCAAAAAGCCCTCAGTTATAAGGTCACTGGCTCTTGGTTTGGATGTGTTGGGGAGGGAGGAGTGAGCTGAGAAAAAGAAGGAAAGACCAAGAAGGAAGCAGACTGGGAGCATGAAGAGAATGTACATTTTCAAGAAATTTGGCCTAGGATTGTTTTCCTGTTTGTTTTTAAAATTTATTTGTTTCTTTTGGCTGCACTAGGTCTTTGTTGCTGCATGCCAGCTTTCTCTAGTTGGGGTGTGCGGGCTTTTCGTTGTAGTGATTTGGGTCACAGAGGACACCCCAATGCAGTGTGGGAGGGGACTACACAGGGGTGTGGATACCTGGGGCGGGAGTCACTGGGGCCATCTTGGGAGCTGGCTACCTCAGGGAGGCCTTCCCTTCCTTCTCCTTCTTCAGTGAATCGCTGAGTCTTTCTGACTCGTCCTCTGCCCTGTCTTCTCACGTGTGTGTGCGTGCTAAGCCGCTTCAATCGTGTCCGACTCTTTGTGACACTATGGACTGTAGCCCCCCAGGCTCCACTGTCCGTGGGATTCTTCAGGCAAGAATACTGGAGTGAGTTGCCATGTTCCCCTCCACGGGATCTTCCCAACCTAGGGATCAAACCTGTGTCTCTTATGTCTCCTGCATTGGCAGGCATACTCTTTACCACTGGCGCCACCTGGAAAGCCCTTTCTCACATATGACCTCATCTCAAATCTGATAGTTTCTTCTGGAAAGAGGTATGGAGGCTGTGTAGGAAGGCTTGGGGACCTCATACCTAAGGGCACTGGTGGAATGCATGATAATATGCCAGCAGGGCCTCCAACCCAAACTTACAGGGAGAAGAAAGGCAAACGTCCTGGCAAGCCAGTCTTTTGGGGAGAATTTGCTCCATGTGCAGACAAGGGAAGACCTGTAACACTAGAGTCACCCTAGGGAAGTGAGGTGCTGAGTGTAAGAACAAGAGAGCACAGATAAAGCACAGATACTTCCCCAAAGTAACCTAAGACTTAAAACCATAATATGGGGTCAGCTCCCACACCCTGTCCCCAGAGAAAGTCTTAGGCTATCTCTTGACAGGGTCTCCCACTTCCCTGTGAGCATCACAAATAAGCTTATCTCCACAAGTCTGCTTAGATTGAAAGTGGATTCCAAGAGCTCATGAGCTGACAGACACTGTGGGGTCTGTTCTGCTTTAGTAAGAAAGGAAGCCTTGATTCTCAGTGGCTGTCACTGTCAGAGGAAGAGTCATGCGTGCCATTCGGCAGGGGCGACATACTCTGTTTCACTGATGATGCTTTTTTTCTTGGGATCCTTCTCTATGATGGACTTTTTGGGGAAAAAACAGGTGGAATTTTCAGAATTAGGCATGCCTTGACACTACCTACCTGAGCTATTTGAGCTGCTACAGCATCCCCCACCAGGCACCCACAACCAGCAGACCCAGCTAGGAGGAGGTAGTTTTAGGGGGACTTCATTAGGTCCTCAACTGCCTGAAGTTAACTCAGGCTCAGTCAATTAACCAGGGATCCAAGAGCACCGGGGTGGGAGCTCAGTACTCTGTGAAATCAATGGGAGACTCTGGGCCTTCCATGAAAATTTGCCTTCGTTCTTGGATCTGTGATTCTGGGACATAACCGTGGGTTTATGGACCAGAACAGACAGACAACTGAAGTCACATACCTGCCCCTTTATCCCCATTTTGCATGTGACTCAGAGAGGTCAGGGATTTTTCCATAGCCATTTAATGAGCTGGTAACCCAGCCAGGACTTGTCTTCTGAATGTCTAGTCTTCTTTCTCTGCCTCATGTCAAATCTGTGAGTAATCATGGCATATACACTTCTAGAAGGCAGACTACCTGTTTGCTCTAAGGTCCATCTTCTGCTCTTATTATCTTCTCCTAATGACAAGGACCCTCATTTCCCAGGCTCCCTTGTCTTCTGACTTCCTGTCAGGTTTGGCCAATGCGGGGCATTGATGGAACACTTGAGAGCAGGAGTTAGCAAGCAATAAACAATTTCCTGGGCTTCTCTGTGGCTTAGATGGTAAAGAATCTGCCTGCAAAGCAGGAGACCTGGGTTTGATCCCTGGGTCGGGAAGACCCCCTGGAGAAGGGAATAGCTATCCACTCTAGTGTTCTTGCCTAGATACTGAGAGACTCACACACACACACACAAACTACTTCCTCTCCTCTTCCTGCTTATTTTGGTGCCTCTAGCAATGACTGAGTCTCCCTGGTCCCTGCACCCATTGGACATTCTCCACTGTGATTCTGGCTTCTGTCAAATGACTCCTGTTGCTGTAAGCCCAGAACACTCAGTAACAGCAGCCCCTCCAACTCATGGAGTCACAGCTCCTTGCTGCTGTGGCTAATCTCTGGGTAGCATCACTGTCTGCTGTTTGGCTTCTCAGTCCTTCTGTTACTTCTAGGACCAATCCCCTAAATTAAATTACCTCTGTTTATTAAGACCTACACTGGTTTATGTTTTCCCTCCTGGACCCTGACTGACGGAGTGGGGTCATCATTCTATGTGTTCTTGCTCACTGTAAGAACACAATAAATCTTCAGTCATAATAGTGTTAACTCTTCTAAAAAGGAAAACCAGTTTATGCAAGAGAGGTAGCACTCCACTCTTATCATTTACTCCATCAATCAAGCTGATTAAAACTATATCATATTTGCCATAACTCTTGGAAAACAAAAAGTGAAAACATTTTCCTAAGACATCTTCCCAAGGGTCAGTCTGTGCCTTCTACTCAGTGGTGTTAAAAGAATAGATTTCTTTGATCTCAGAGAGTTTTTTTCCATTTCTCTTTGTGACTTATCATGGAAGGGATTGTTCTTGGTGTGTGTAGGTTTGTATTTTTTAATTGTAGCAGAATGGGCCCCAATGTCATGCCACTGGTTTCTTATACTTCCTTTGGTAATAACTCTGCCCTTAGCCTTCCCATCACAAGCCTCCTGGTTGTTGTGACCCACAGTCCTGTTTATATGCCAACCCCTGTTCTTGGCCTCCGCACAAGGATTCCCACAAGGGTTCCGTTTGAGATGGTGGTTTCCAAGATTGGGGGTATCTGCCCGCCAGCACGGCATTTGAGACCACCAGCTTGTTTTTCCAAGTATTAATATCTCAGTATCACTAAACATATTTTCTTTTCCAGAATATTTTCCAAAAGTTTTATAAGAATGTCTCTAAAACTTTCTTGTTTTGAAGGCCTAAGAACCTAAGGGGAAGGGCAAGGTAATATAAATTTTAACTTGGCAGACTAGTATTTAAAACTTTATCCAAAAAATATTTTTCCCCTTAGGGAAAAAAAAAAAAAGCTCTCTTTACATATTTAAGTAATTCATTTGGGAGAAATAACCACTCGGCTATTCACATAACCCTTGGCAGATGTCGGTTCGATATTTTCTCTTTGAAAGTTCAACTTAACATTTGCTACCATGGTGGTAAGGAAAGGGACAACTCATTTTAAAGATTCTCTGCCTTTGTTTCTTTGTCTTTCTTCTGCAGGCCATGTGTTTATACTGTGGGATCTCCCATAAACAACAGGGCCCTTTTTCCATGCCAGGAGCCACCCGTTGCCATGTCAACATGGCAGGCTACAGTTCGAGCAGCTGCATCCTTTGTTGTTTTAATGAGCGGGGAGAATTCTGCGAAGCCAACACAGCTTCGGGAAGGTACTGTACATGTGTTCCGTGCTTCTTTATTTATTGCACACATGTTGGACCCAGGAACCCAATACACAGGGTTTTTCTCAGCTTTAAAAGAGCTCCTTTATTAGCTGGGTTGGGCTGAACATGATATAAAACATCCTGCCAGAGAAAACACCAGGGGATGGGGAAGGGCCCTTGGGAGCCTGAGCATGGCATGTAGGGCTCTTCATGCCAGAGTTATCAATTCTTAGATTATTAAGGCAGTTCCTTTCACCTGGTGGTTTGTGGACCATAAGTGGTGGTCTTGGCTGAAGACTTTCTGGGCAGGCAAGTGTGTTGTGGAAATACCATTACAGTTGAGTTGTTTGTGTTTTGGCCATGGAGCCTGTGCAAGGTTATTTGTTATGCTGAGCGATAGTTCTCCTGTTGGCTGCCCACTGGAGTTGTCCTGGTATTGCTTTGTCCTTACTCTATTGGGCCATGAAGTTTTGAGCCAAAGGTGTGTAAGAAAGATGAAAGGCAGGTACTCATGCATCATCAAGGTTTTCTCTGTGAGTTTCCTGCTTGTTGTAGTAATTGACACTTTCAGTTGAGATCTGGAGCTTGTTGATGCCAGGTGAAGTTTGTGTAATTGTAATATTTCTTCATCTAAATATGGTGTCTCCTTCCACCATGTATTATAGAAACTTTAAAATTTACAAAAAGTAAAAGTAATAAAATTAATTTTAAAGAAAATGATTGTTAACATTTTGTTGCATTTCCCTCTGCTATTTAAAATCTGTGTATATAGTATATATTGTCATTTCAAAATTGCCAGGAGAGCATATAGCCATTTTCACTTACAGTATATCTTGTATGTCTTTCCAGATGTTAAGTATTTTTAAAATTAATGATTTTAATGTCTGCATAATATTTTATGAGAGCATCAGATTTTATTACATTTCCATATTATAAACAATTGTATTGGTTCCAAGGTTTTTTCTTATTATAAATAATGTCACATTATATTTCTGAGGAGATAGTTTGTAGGAACTTAGAATTATTGAGTCAGAAGTTTTGAACCTGTTGAAGGCTGTTGGTACTCATCTCAAGTTGTTTTTCAGAAAGGTTGTGATACTTTAGATATCCATCAGTAGTTATGAAGGTCCCCTCATCCTTGGAGTTTCACGCATCTGACAGGCGAGAAAAGGTTTCTTTTTAATTTGGGTTATTTTGATGATCAATGAGCTTTCATATGTCCTTGGCCGTTTTTATTTCCTATTGTTAATTTCCTCCACCCATTTTTATATTGAGATGTTAGTGAGGTTTCCAAAGTTTGCTTTGTCTTCTAGTTTGATTGGATCTTTAAAAAGTAGTTATTGCGGCTTCCTGGTTAGTGACCATGTGAAGACATGGGGATAACGGTACCCCTGGAGAGGGCATGGACGTTCCATGCTCTTTCTCACATACCTTGCCCTGGGCAGTTTTCCATCTGGCTGGTCCTGAGTTGACTGTCCACTGGTCATCAAATCCAGCAGACCAGTGCATAGGTCTGTTTCTTCAGGTCTTCATTTCATTATGGAGGCTCTTGTGTTACATAAAACTTCTATTACATAAATCTGTAATCTGTGCTCCCATTTAAAAAATAAATAAAATGAAATAGAGATATAATCTCTTATATTTGTGTATTTTTCTCAATTTTTAGTATACTTTTTAATTTTATAGAGTATTTCTGATCTATAGGAGATTTTAATTTTTACATAGTCAGATATGTCAGATTTCTCTTGGGAAGTTTTTCTTTGCGCTAAGACTCACCTGTTTTATTCTAATATTTTTATCTAATTTTAATTTATTTTTAGTAACTTCACTCTATAATTTGTAGTTTAATCTGGTCAGTGTTGTGAAATAAGGACTGTTGTTTAGTCACTAACTTATGTCTGAGTCTTTGCTATGCCAGGGACTGTAGCCCTTTCTGTCCCTTATTATGCCCACCTTTGCTTGAAATGTTCCCTTGGTATCTCTAATTTTCATGAAGAGATCTCTAGTCTTTCCCTATCGATTGTTTTCCTTTATTTCTTTTCATTGAATGCTGAGGAAGGCTTATCTCTCCTTGCTATTCTTTGGAACTCTGCATTCAAATGGGTATATCTTTCATTTTCTCCTTTGTCTTTCACTTCTCTTCTTTTCACAGCTATTTGTTAGGCTTCCTCAGGCAACCATTTGCCTTTTTGCATTTCTTTTTCTTGGAGATGGCCTTGATGACTGCCTTCTGTACAATGTCATGAACCTCTGTCTATAGTTCTTCAGTCACTCTTTCTATCAGATCTAATCCCTTGAATCTATTTGTCACTTCTACTGTATAATCGTAAGGGATTTGATTTAGGTCGTACCTGAATGGTCTCAACAGATAACAATTTTCTACAAACTGTGGAAAATTAATATTAAAGAGATGGGAATACCAGACCACCTGACCTGCCTCTTGAGAAACCTGTATGCAGGTCAGGAAGCAACAGTTAGAACTGGACAAGGAACAACAGACTGGTTCCAAATAGGAAAAGGAGTACGTCAAGCCTGTATATTGTCACCCTGCTTATTTAACTTGTGTGCAGAGTACATCATGAGAAACACTGGACTGGATGAAGCACAAGCTGGGATCAAGATTGCGGGGAGAAATATCAATAACTTCAGATATGCAGATGACACCACCCTTATGGAGGAAAGCAAAGAAGAACTAAAGAACCTCTTGATGAAAGTGAAAGAAGAGAGTGAAAAAGTTGACTTAAAACTCAACATTCAGAAAACTAAGATCATGGCATCTGGTCCCATCACTTCATGGCAAATAGATGGGGAAACGATGGAAACAGTGACAGACTTTATTTTGGGGGGGCTCCAAAATCACTGCAGATGGTGATTGCAGCCATGAAATTAAAAGACACTTGCTCCTTGGAAGGAAAGTTACGGCAAACCTGGCGTATTAAAAAGCAGAGACATTACTTTGCCAACAAAGGTCTGTCTAGTCAAGGCTATGGTTTTTCCAGTAGTCAAGTATGGACATGAGAGTTGGACTATAAAGAAAGCTGAGTGCCGAAGAATTGATGCTTTTGAACTGTGGTGTTGGAGAAGATTCTTGAGAATCCCTTGGACAGAAAGGAGATCCAACCAGTCCATCCTAAAGGAAATCAGTCCTGAATATTCATTGGAAGGACTGATGCTGAAGCAGAAACTCCAATACTTTGGCCACATGATGCAAAGAACTGACTGATTTGAAAAGACCCTGATGCTGGGAAAGATTGGAGGTCGGGAAAGAAGGGGATGACAGAGGATGAGATGGTTGGATGGCATCACCGACTCAATGGACATGAGTTTGAGTAAACTCCGGGAGTTGGTGGTGGACTGGGAAGCCTGGAGTGCTGCAGTCCATGGGATTGCAAAGAGTTGGACATGAATAAGTGACTGAACTGAACTGAACTGGACTGGACTGTAGCCTGCCAGGCTCCTCTGTCCATTGAATTCTCCAGGCAAGAATCCTGGAGTGGGTTGCTATTTCCTTCTCCAGAAATAAGGACTAAATATTTTTATTTTCAAATATAAAACCAATTATCCAGGATCATTTAATGAATCTTTTCTGGTTTGTGGTGTCTTCATCATAAGTTAGATTTACACATGTAACAAAGTTTTCAATGAATGTTTACTTTATTCTCAAAGTCAAAACAAAACAAATTATACATTTAAAAATTTAATTTTAAAAAATAAGGCATATTTACATGGTTCATTTACAAATAAGCAAAGGATTAAAAAAATGTTATGATGTCTTCTTTTTACATCTAATTCCCAACTATCCAGTAACCCTTCCCTAAGGCGACCAAGTTTTTTCCTCTTTTGTTGCACAAAACATAACATGCTGTACCCATTTTTGTATTATGATCCCCCCTTTAGAATAACCTGTTCTTATAGACAATTTCATATCTGACCATAAAGAGCTTCCTCATTATTTTTAGTACTATAAGTAAAGTCGCTTAGTTGTGTCTGACTCTTTGCGACCCCATGGAATGTAGCCTACCAGGCTCCTCTATCCATGGGATTTTCCAGGCAAGAGTACTGGAGTGGGTTGCCATTTCCTTCTCCAGGGGATCTTCCTGGCCCAGATAGTGTTCCATAAATGAATGTTCACAATTTAGTTAAGCAAAAACTCTTGACTTTATTCTATATTACATAAGGAATTTAATGGTCATTCCTGGGTTGGGAAGATCCCCTGGAGAAGGGATTGGCTACCCATTCTGATATTTTTTCCTGGAGATGTCCATGGACAGAGGAGCCAGGGGGGCTACAGGCCATGGGTTCTCAGAGGTGGACATGACTGAGCGACTAACACTTTTTACTTACTTCTATCAATTTCCCTCACCCACATTTCTCCAGTTTTAATTAATATAATTTGGAATTTGATACTTACATTATCTATGTATTTTGTTCTTATTTTATATCTTCTCAAGGAATTATAATCACTGTTGTACATTTTTATCCAGTTTCAAATTATGTTTGCAGTAAGTATTCAGACTTTCTTTACTCTTGATCTCTTAAGTTTGACTCATCTCTTAGTCAACTGGGAAATGGCTGTAGTTTTTTTTTTTTTTTCTTCTGCAGAATGGTGGCTATTGCTATATTTTCTGATCAAGACAATTGTACTCATTTTGCATGCTAGTAAGGTTATGCTCAAAATCCTTCACGTTTGGCTTCAACAATACATGAACTGAGAACTTCCAGATGTACAAGCTAGATTTAGAAAATGCAGAGGAACCAGAGATCAAATTGCCAACATTTGTTGTCTCATAGAGACAGCAAGTGAATTCCAAAAAAACATCTACTTCTGTTTCATTAACTATGCTAAAACCTTTGACTATCTGGGTCACAACAAACTGTCAAAAATTCTTAAAGAGATGAGAATGCCAGACCACCTTACCTGTCTCCGAGAAACCTGCATGAATGTCAAGAAGCAATAGTTCGAACCAGACATGGAGCAATGGACTGGTTCCAAACTGGGAAAGGAG